CGTTACCGTTGATATATTAGGCGAGAGTTCACTTAATCTTAATTACCCCCTAGCATGAATTTAGTTTAGACTGAAATTACCAAGTACTTTGCATTTACTTAGTTCTAACGTGATCCAACTCAGATTCATTAAACTTAGGAGCACAAAAGTTTGCAGTTATAAGGAATGTGTAAACTAAAATAATTAAGAAGCATTTATCATTTTGGGCGTCATTTTAAACAAAATTTTGTCCTACTAATATTAAAAATGCGAAATCTTGTGAGGATGTATGAATATCTGGATGTATAGATGTGTGGATGTTTGTTACTCTTTCACACAAAAACTAATCAATGGATTTTAATTAAACTTTACAATAATATAGTTTATAATTCAGAATAACACATAGGCTACTTTTTATCGCGGAAGAATATATGGTTCCCGTGGGATAGATTTATTTTTGTTTCCTACAGGCGAACCCAAGTGAAGCGAGGATGAGTCGTTAGTGTTGAATAAATTTATTTTAAAAGTAAATGGAAAATGACACCTAATGGTATGTTTTCTGGTTAAAAATAGTTTTTGTTGTTACGTTGTTCCTAAAGAAGACTGTTTACTAGGGATAATGTTATTAAACACCCCATTGTCTCCGTAAAAAGTAAATATTCTTCTTTTATCTGAGCTTCCACGATAATATATTGCAAGCGCTTTATAAAAACTTTCCCCTACGCTACGTACGCTCTACGAAAGAAATTCGTTAGCGAAAAATCTTATTTATCCGAAAATTCCCACGGTCTAAGGTATAAACTAAATCTTATAAACAGATACTAACCGCATTTTGTTCCTACCCCAATAATCGTGACATTTGTGCCCCATTCAACCATAACACAATAAGGTCACACGTAAATCTACGTCACGGCACGTACACTTTGAAACATTCGATACAGAATATACGACGTGTCCTGTTTTCTGATAGAAGCAAAGAGTATGGAACACAGAGCGTTTCATACATATGCTTGTCTACTTACGTATACTTCATACATCTAAAAGCGTGTACTATTTTAGACCCCTTAATAGCTATGCAGAGGGAATTGACTGATGAAGATGGAGATTGGAGTGATGATCTCTTATAATACTCTACAAAAACGTAAAAAAACTTTTCTTTTTACTTTTCCCAATTTTTATGTTAGTATTTTAGCTTGTTTATGTTTATTTTGTGTTTACTTGGACACCAGTCCACATATTTACAATTCGCAAAGTTATGTCCTTGCTTGTTTATTTTGAGACGTAATCGCTACACAGCCAGACTAACAATAAGAGCAATCATTCATGTATAGACTAGTAAATATATCAATATAGATCGAGAACCAAGATCGAGATTACAAAAGTGAAAGTGAAAAGCAAGTGCGGTAAAAAACCAAATAGTTCTAAGAATATGGTCTTAAGTTTAACTGTATGGACCTATTCAGTTAGGACCATACTCCTGTCAAATTCCGTTTAGGACCGAGATGGATCCGGTCGAACTGAGTTAAATATGGATTTTTGTAGAGCTTTTCTGCAAATCAACATAAGTTAAATGTCACGAAAAAAACCTACGAGTATTAGAATTGCGGTTTTTTTGTCTTTACTTTTCTTCTCTATAAAATACGATTTACGTAAATCTACGTGCTGGTACCTAAAAAGTACCTATTATATTATTTACTTCTCACTTCATACGTTTAAGGCGTTTTATCAGAAATTTTTCATGATATTTATTCTTTGACTGATATCAGATATAAAAGTTTCTCTTCCAACCGAAAGAGCTAAATAATACCTATAATGTAACAATAAAATAAATCAATATAATATCAAAATCGTAATAACCATAAATTGATATCGATAGAATCTTCCCACGGCAATTCGATGCCAAAATATAGGTCATATATTATGGAAGCCGTAAATATCTTGAGTATCTGTTTGTTGGGTTATGGTCTTGAATGAAAATTATTTTTGACAATTGAAAGGCTTTTATGCTATAGCTTATGAAATTTAAATAGCTTGTAATTATTTCATTTTTTATTCACCTAAATTAAAACCACAAAAAGCAAAAAGTTTTTAATAAAAAGATAACATGGAAAGATAAAATATACATAGGTATATAGTGTTTCCAATTGCAGAATATAAATAACGTTCCTTCATCCGTTTCGATATATTTGATCGGCCAGAGTTAAAGCACAAGACCGACGGTTTTACGTGTTCTTTAATGCAAGCAAGGGGGGTGTAACAACACTAACTTCCCAAATCCAAGCTGTTTAACAAGAAATAAACAAAAAATATAAACTTCATTTCTAACGATTTCGAAAAATAAATTGACAATTTCATTTTGGATTCGCCAATTGTGAATCGTATTTCAATTTTTTTTAATGAGTAGGTCATAATACCCCTTGAGTGGTCCTATTAAATTTAAAAAAAAAACACCTCTGTAATTGAATTCGGTGTACCTTACTTTAAAAAAAAGAAATTATATATCTGTAAATAGGTTCTACACTAAATATTATAAAATTTAATTTTTCTAGGCTTATTAGATTAAACTTGGCAGTTTGCTCAATGCCCTCAGAATATTCATTATTCACTAATCAAAGAAAATATCATTGAATTGGTTCAAACAAACTCGAGCATTGACATTTATTATTAGAATATATGATTAAATAATAATTGGGTCACCGAATGTTCTCTATGGCGTTTCCACTTTCGAATAGGAAAAAATGGAAAGCAATATAAAGGCTTATTGGATCAAATGCGTCACGTTTGAAATAAAAACGTGCGGGCGCCACGTCGTCGGGTGATAGTGAGGTATTGGATATCATTTTGCGTATACCCTGATCCTTCTTTGTAGGATATGTTTTACTGTACATACAATGTAGGGATATATGTTCAAGTTAGGGATCAATCTTCTAAGCACTAAATTTTCATATTTTTTTTCTTTAAATAAGTAAACTATTTAGGTAATAATTTTGTTCGAAGATTTTATTTGAATATTTTTTAAGTTATTAAGTTTAATAAGGAAATGTATCCAAAAGTTTGAATTTGGTTTACGTTCATAAATATTTTACATCTATATTTAGGTATCTTTTCATGTAAACTTACCTCTAAAACTGTTATTTTTGAAGATAATGCAGAAGTCTAAAAAATAGTTTCAATGTAAAGTGCAAAAAAATATGGAAACCTAATTTTGACATTGATACCTTGTAGGTAATCTCATCTCTCTCTCATCTCTCATCTTTAAACTAAATAATTAAGTTTGCTATACATTACTGCATTTCAATTTGTACAATTAGAGAAGTACTTACTTACACCGATTGCACAGAATAGGTAATATTCTTTATCAGCAGACTTTATTATATAAAACTCCATTTCAAAATCTTATTGTACCTTATTTTACTTTGTGCTAACCAGCTTTAGCTCTGTGCAAGAGCGGTCTCCAGCGTCAATTTATTTTGCTAAGCGTAATAGAATTTTTCAAAGAGGGCAACACTGTTAGTAGTTTTGAGAGTTGACAGATAACGTTATTACTACAAGATACTTCCATTACACGCCTGATGTATAGTTCGGCGGTGACGAGATAAATGTAAACAAAGCTCCTTTGTTGCCATTGTGGTTTATAACTTTATACGAGCTTTACCTACTTCTATTTTGTAAGCTTTATATAGAAAATTGTACTCATGTATAGATGTTGAGTTATATTTTATTATGAAATATCAGATTATATTTATGAAATACTAGCAGAGTCCGCGGCTTTGCTCGCGCTAAAGCTACAAAAAAAACTCTAAAAAGGTAGGTTTCATAAAAACTTTCATTGCCTATTTCACCTCCTTATGGGATGAATTTCGAAAAATACTAAAACACATATTTATTTCATTGTATTTAAGATCATTAATACTAAGTTTCAAGTAATTCTGATCATAAATATTTTTTGGTTTGTATTTTAACGTGATTTCCCGTCGAAATGAGATAATCTCCCGCGGTAAAAATAGCCTATGTGGCTCTCCAGCCGTCCAACTAGTCTCTCTGTTTCGATGTGAAACAGACAAGACAGAAAAGACAAACAAACAAACACACTTTCACATTTATAATATTAACATGGATATTAAAATAATTAATAAGTACTACTATTAATTATTACTGTAATATTGCCATTGGTAGAAAACAAGAATCATTGATTTTAATTATCCCCGCCTTAATTTCTCTAAGTTGAATTACTTTAAACCATAATAAAATGCATTATTCTAAAATGATGAAAATTAACAAATATTGAATATTCATTTAAGTATGAATTGAACTTTCGACCGGCCTTACGACTTACGTCATATTATAAATACGTAGAAAGTACATAGAAAATACCTAAGCTATTCGACAATGAGTAGTTGTACTGAATGTAACGAAATTTCTTCTAATTTCATGCCTAGATATAATAATTTTAAGTTCATGAATTAATAAAATACATAATAATTATATTTAAAAATTATCAAGTTAAGTACAGTGACATCTAGTGACAGTTATCGAAATCAAGATTGCATCTTTTAATCGTTAACACTGCCATCTAAATTTTCCACAGTAAAATAAAAGTTTAACATGGGGTTGTCAACACAAAATTGAAAATACTAGTTAAAATATTTTTTTAAGGACTTACGAGTACTATAATATGACGAAATTAAAAATCTTATTTCTTTTTAATATATTTAATAAAATATTTTAATTAAACTGTATATACATAAATAATATATATTTTTTTCTCTGACCTCCCAAATCTATGACGTTAGTAAATGAAAATATTGATCCCGAGGATAGCTCAAAAAATAAAATAAACACTTGTCGCTTCTCGTTCTCAGTTCGCTCGCAGTCGTAGTCTATAATTTACTAAGAAATACTTGTTAGAAATAAACATTATTTAATAATTAGCGTGCCAATGCTAACTTATTGTATTGTATACTAAACGGGATTTACCGCGACGTCGACGTGTTTCAGAAGTATTTTTAAAAATATCAGAAATGAAGTCTTACAATTTACTTTTTTCTATATGTTTTGCTCTTGCGATTATTTCTAAAAGTGTTTTTGCATATGAAATTGATACTTACGATTTTCTGATGCCCAATGTTTGGCCTAACAAGGTAAATTATTTTAATTCATGCTTATTTTAATTTTTAAATCTAATCAATAATTTCATGGCTATAATGCGTTGTAAATACTGTTAATATTACCAATCGCTTATTTTATTACAATAAATAAGTAGTAGGCTTAACTCAATTGATTATGTTTATTTGATAATTTTATGCAGTATAAAAAATATTATTTTATTTTAATACTTTTCAATAATTTTTACTAGCTAATTAAACAGATTCTTAAATCAAAAATTTACATATTACATACAATTATATCCATATTTCATATTTTATAGTATGCCCATTTAGATCCTACAAATTTTGTTACTGTTATGTTTTTGGTTTGAATTATGTACTTACTTAAATTAGATTCTAGAATAGCCATCTACGCTTCAATTAAAAACAAAATTGTGAATTGGAAAATTTAAAAATAAATAATGATGAAAATTCTTCTAATGAACTATTTATATCAACTGTTTTTTACAATTATTTTATTATAAGTATTTTTTTTATAAATATTTGTTTTGAACTGCAATATAAATTATTATAATAATGTGTAAAGTACCATCCACCTTATTGATCTGCTACATTTCTTTCTAATTAAACACTTGAGCTTTATCTAACTACATCATATAGATAAAACTATATAAATTGACTCATATAAAAATACCTACTTTATAAAAATGATAGTTATTGTGTGGTTTTCTTAAATCAGTTTAATAATAGGCTAGGGACTTTACCTTTTTTACTTACCTTCGCTTTACTTGGGTGCATCCCTAGATGCCTAACAGTAGCACATATGTTACTTCATGTCATATTCTATCTAAGCTTAAAAACTCATACAAATCATGAATCCGGCTTGTGTGAAAGAGTAACAAACATACAAACTTTTGCATTTATATTACTAGTACAATATATGTAAATTTCGAAAGCTATTTTATTAAAATGAGCTTTGATTGAATTATAAACATCTTTTCCTAAAAATGGCTGCATTTAAACACTTTTTTTTAAACTATAACATATAAATGTAAATAAAAGTAATAATAAAAGAAAGTGCTTATTATTACAAGAGCAATACCAAGTCCCATAAATAAGATCTTGCCCACAGAAAATAATTATGCTTTATGGATGTTTTTGTTTAAAGATGTTACACATATTTATTTATTAAATGTCTGATATATTTGTTTTTTTTTTAATAAAAATTATATTCTAGCTGCTTGCCCTGGGTTTGTAGTTTGTACAAATATATATTTTTTTAATTGACACTTTCTAATTATTGAAACAGCCTGGGGGACCATATTTCTTCATTTCATTGAACCGATTATTATTTACATAGAATTTTAGGGATTTGGGCATTTAGGGGTAGAATTTAATAAGATTTACATCTAGTATTTCAGTGGTCTTGACTCGATATTAATGAATCAGTCAGTCAGGATATATTATTTTATGTTTCAGGATGAGCTGTATCTTTGTACTCCTATAAGGATTTCTCCACAGAAAAACTTCTATGTAGGTAAGTAATGTAAAGAGTACTTTTAGAATAATACAACTTACATGAATAGTAGGGTGGAGTGAAAACAATTTTTTTTTTCTTAGCTAGGGGTTAAAATTTGTTGCTTATAAAAAACAAAATTTATGAAAAAAAACTTAGTATTTACTCAACATTTTGAGGTAGCTCAGTGATTTTTAAAATAAATAATTAGGTAATTTAATTTTTTTTTATATTAGAGTGAAAATTGGATAGAAAATCAAAATACTCGTCAATTCTTGAATGTTTTCAAAGATGATCAGTCAAAAAAAAATTTTCCATTCAAACCAAAAAATTTAATTTATTATTTTAAAAATCAGTGAGCCACCTCATAATGTTGAGTAAAAAATTTTTTTTATTTAAAAATATTTTTTTATAAGCAACAAATTCTACCTCAAGCTAAGAAAAGAAAACAAAAAAAAAATCGCTCCACCGTAATAGAGAGAGAAGATATTTAGGCAGTAGTATCTGTAATCTTGCTTGGCTCAGTGATAAAATAAAGCCGAAAATTGTAATACGATTTTATCACTGAGACAAGCAGTTTGTGCTTTTTTACTTACCTATTGATTTTTAGTGGGCTTCAAACCTAATGCCACGATGCAAACAGCCCACCACATGCTGCTCTATGGTTGCTCCGAACCAGGATCAAATGATTCAGCATGGTATGTTAAACAAAGTTAATTAACTAAATACATAAACAGTATTGTTTTTGTTTTTAATTGTAGCAATAGTTTGTTTGCTTTCACTTTAAATATGTAGTTTATTGTTTACGAAAAGTATATAAGCTATTAGCTAAGGAATTATTTTCATATGCATCTTAATATAAACTACCTTACACTAGCAACTAGTAGCTGGGCCGGATTTAACCTTAGCGCCGCCCCTGGGCATAGTAAAAAAGGCCGCCCTATTATCGAAATTTTGCACAAAATGGGTAAAGTTTCGATAAAGTTTATTTTTTTATTATAAATTTTTCAAAAAATGTAGGTACCTACCATAAGGTACAAATAGATAAAAGTAGGTACCGGTAAATGTAGTTAAATTTTTTATTTTTTGGAAAATAAAAAAGAGCATTTTCGATAACGCGAAGAATTTTTTTTCCACCCCCCGAATTTTGCCGCTCCTAAAAATTTTCAGCCCTAGGCACAAGCCCCGTGTGCCCCTAGTGTAAGTCCAGCGTTGACTAGTAGGTACTATTATAAGATGATAACTGCAAAGTTTAATAAAACTAAATGAACACATTTTTGACCAACTGTAATGGAGGACTCTTTAAAAAGAAACAATTATCGGGCCTAAAACTAAATAACTTGTTAAGAATTACCCGACTTCAAATATTTGATTTATAAGTTACTAGCATTGCCCGCGTTCAGATGACCAAAAAGCCAAATTTTTAGGTTTTACATATTAGTATACTCTTATATTGCAGTTTTTGTATTATTTCTCAAAAATGAGACATTTTCCCTCGGTAAAAAGTATCTTATATGTTGACCCGGATAACCAGCTATCACCATGCTAAATTTCATCAAAATCCCTCCAGTGGTTTTTCTGTGATGTGGTAACAGACAGACAGACAGACAGACAAAAATTCTAAAAACTATAGATTTGGCCTTTGTATCGATAATAATGTTTATTTCAATAAGATTTTCCAAAAAATATTTCATGTACAGATTCGGATTAGTTACAATTTTATTATATGTATAGACAAGCTGGCCGCTCTTTTCCACTGGGCGCTTCTGTCCCCGCATGACTTCAAAAAAAAAAACATTCTTTGCAGCCGCCGAGCCGTTGCATTAGTAGACACCTGATTTAATGAGAAAATGTTTCTAGCCCCAAACTTATAAAATATTTATATTATGTATCTTTTATTGGTTATATATAATTTAATTAGATTCAATTGAACATTAAAAGATCAATCAATTTGCCAACTATCAAAATACATAAAATGCGACGAATTGCGGCAATGACAGAATAATTAATCTAATTAACTTACTAATTAAGTCGAAAAACTTATCGAGGGTGAATTAAATGCTAATATTTTGTATTTCGTGACAGAAAAGGAGATAATTTTTTGAATATATCAATTTGTTTATACACTCTGATACAATGAGTGAACCTGTCCATAGGCATTTTCCTTTCTTGCAATTATTGTATGAAAATAAATAAAAAAAACAATAAATTAATAAATATGTTGGCACATTTACACACAGTACCATCTAGTTCCATGGTAAGCTAGGAGGCTTGAGTTATGGATACCAGATAGTTGATACACTACACATATATAACTTTAAATACATACATATTATAAATAAGTATAAAAACTCATGGCTGGAGTACAAACATTCGCGCTTATGACTCATCACACAAATGAATACCCCGAGTGGGACTCGAACTTCAATATGGGTCACTACAAACTGAGATTTAAGAAAAATTGAGCAGTTAGACGCTAATGTCCATGGAACGTGGTGTGCTTAAAGATATAGACATTGAACTTACGATTGACGATTTTGCTTAGGTATATGTGAAAACTAGAAGGGTATTTTTACAATAATCATAAAAATAAAACTATCTTTTCGGATTATTTCGCGGATTTATTTTGATTTTTGGTCCCCGACGTATCGACATGGTACCGACTTCGCAAATATCTATCTACTCTAAATGAAAACCCTCGTTTAGTTATTTTTTACATTTTAGTGCCTGGAAGTCGGTTTTTATTTTCTTTATAAACTTTATTCGAGCTATTAAATTTTTAAAAGGAAATTACGCTAATCAATATAGTATAGCCATTCTAAAGTAATACACGTAACAACGTACGTTTTATTTCTTATTTAACTAGGCATTCGATTGTTGACTACAAAGTAAATATAATTAATATAAATCTTCCACAATAATTCTGTAATTATAAATTACGTGTTCATAATTTTCCATCTACGGATTACATAAAAAAGCTCAAAAAGTTATGGTAGCGCTGGAACTAAAGCTCTAATTAACTTTTCTTTTAATTCATGTTGGGTTTCGGTCTGCAAAATTTTCCAACTTCTGTACAATATCTAAGTTGTAAATGTAATTTAGAAAATACGTATTATCTTTGCTTTGGTTTAAAGAAAAACAAAATGAAATAATTTTGTTCATGTCATATGTGTCAGGATATTGTTTAAATCTTCTAGCATTCGTAAACTAAGTAGTCTTGTGACCAAAATATTAGTCCAAAAATCGACATCGGTCTAGCGACTTGGCCATAATACGACACCCGCAACTACATTAGCGAGTATCTATAAAGTTACCTATAAGGTAACTTATAGGTTCATAGCTCTTGATTAAAGAATGATATAGACGAAACCAAAATAATTAATGCCAGAGTCAAAAATAGTACCGTGATTTGCTGTTTATGCTTACTATTCTCATTTTCTTTCTTTAAAAAATAATGGAAATTTTATAAAGATATCATTCGTTATTTTGAGAATAAAATATGATTCATAATAAGTATAACATTATATTGTTTTGTTTTTTCTAGTATTAGTTTTCTTCCCCCTTGAAAGTGTAGAGATAGTTATAAGATCACTTCGTTATCCATCAGTAAGTTTGTATGTCTGTCTGTCAAGACTTAAGACCCTTTTTCGCAATCAAAAGGTACGGCCGTTTATGCCGCATATTCCGAATCAAAATCTATACTAACTTCTCGTTGACCTAGAATCATGAGCAAGACGCAATGTCATATAGCAGTAAAATAAAGACGAAAATTCCAATCTGTTTAATGTTTCATGCTACGGAACCCTCGGTGTGTGAGTCAGACTCGCACTTGTCCGAACTTTTTTTAATTATTAACATCTATTTACTTATCACTAAGTATACAAATAGGCCTTAAGATACAAGCTACACTTTAGCTATTTTAAATTCAAAACCAATTCAAACGACATTTAGAATTAAACGGCCATTTAATGTACTACCTAATCAATTTTTACGCCTTTGCCCTTGCGAGCTTATTGCGGGCAGATAACAATCAAGTTTCAGCCCGCCTACGTTTTCAATTGTTTTGTATCATCGCTATCACATAGAATAGAAGTAGATAGGTGCTTAGCATACTTTATTTATGACACAAACTGCTTGCATTCAAGAAAAACAAATAGGCACATCTAAAAATTAAAAACCAAAAGTACTAAAAATAATACAACAAAAGATATCTATCTATACATATAATAAAATTCTACCTGAGTCGAATCTGTACATTTTTTTTTTTTGGAAAATCTTATTGAAATAGACGTTATTATCGATACAGAGGCAGAATCTGTAGTTTTTAGAATTTTTGTCTGTCTGTCTGTTACCGCATCATAGAAAAACCACTGGAGGGATTTTGATGAAATTTGGTATGGTGATAGCTGGTTATCCGGGTCAACATATAGGATACTTCTTACCGCGGAAAAATATCTCATTTCTGAGAAAAAATACAAAAACTGCAATGTAAGAGTATACTAATATGTAAAACCTAAGAATTTGGTTTTTGGTCATCTGAACACGAGCAGAGACGCGGGCAATGGTAGTACCGAATAGAAATGTATGTCTTATGATTTTTAACGACGTGTAGGAACAAATCTCCTACTTTTATTACATTTTATTGTACACAATGTAAAAAAATCTATGTTAAGTGTCGGCATTTTTGTATAGAAAAATAATTATGAATATGCCTACTTGCGACTCACTCTCGCTTCGCTCGGGTCCGTCCCTATATGATAAATATAAATATATGTCTATACTGATATTATAAAAAGGCAGAGTTTGTTTGTTTGAACACGCTAATTTCAGGAACTACTAATCCGATTTGATAAATTTTTTGATGATGATTTATCCAAGAAGGCTATACATATGTATAAAAAGCATTAATGCTCTTCAATACAATTAAATAAATACGTATTTCAGCATTTTTCGAAATTCATCCCATAAGAGGGTAAAATAGGGTATGAATATCTGTATCAAACCTACTCTTTAGTAAATAAATAAATAATTTCCACTTTTCCGCGTGTAGTCTTATCAGCGCAAAAACAAATTGATTCTAAAGAAAAATTGACATTTACTTCTACTTTATTAGATACGCACATATTTCAACATAGCTTCATAATATCTATATATTTTCTTCTGATTTATTTTAATTTTATATTATAACTAGCATTGCCCGCGGCTCCGCTCGTGTTCAGATGACCAAAAACCAAATTCTTAGGTTTTAAATATTAGTAAACTCTTACATTGCAGTTTTTGTATTTTTTCTCAGAAATGAGATATTTTCCCGCGGTAAAAAGTATCCTATATGTTGACCCGGATAACCAGCTATCACCATACCAAATTTCATCAAAATCCCTCCAGTGGTTTTTCTGTGATGCGGTAACAGACAGAGAGAACGACAGACAAAAATTCTTAAAACCATAGATTCGGCCTCTGTATCGATAATAATGTTTATTTCAATAAGATTTTCCAAAATATATTAATGTACTGACTCGCCTTATTTACAATTTTATTATATGTATAGGTATTTTATATTATGTTAGTAAAAACTAAAAAGTATATTCGAAATGTATAAAAGCAATATCCTTTAGGTTTAGCATTGTGCCACTAATAAGAAAGATAAGGGAATAAACCTTATAAAAACTTTAAATAAAATAAAAGTAGCCTAAGTTAATCCTTATAATATCAACTCTTTGTCAGTGAAAGTCCCGTCTAAATCAGTCCAGCCGTTTCGGAGATTAGCCGGAACAAACAGACAGAGAGACAAAAATTAAAAAAATGTGTTTTTCTTATAACTACCGCATATAATTTCATATGCATTTCGTAAGAAGCTGTTATTTTGACATTATAAACAGATACTTCAATTTTATTTATCTGTATAGATTGCCATAGTCATTTTTTTCTGACGACGTCCTATCTAAGAATCTTCATTTAATAAATCTTAAGGTTTCTAAGAAGTTTTCCTCATAATTCTTTATACGGTTTCAGGAGCTGTGGAGAAATGCAAAGTAATGAAATTGATTCTCAGTATACAAGTGCTAGTCCTTGCCGTTCTGGATCACAGGTTCGTATTTGCTTATATGTAGGTGATTTATTATATTACTATTGAAATATAAATATTAACTTTGTTTCAAAAATTTTAATTAAAAATTGATTGTACATACTGTAATTATCTCTTTTTTCATATTTTACACTTTTTGGTTAGGTTTGTTTATATAAGTATATATATTTGAATGTTGTTAAACATAATTGAGCAATTTTTTTTAATAACAAAAAAAATTAATTGGAACCTTTTTTACAACATTTATACCGGTAAGAATCGAACGTGGGACCTCAGATGAGTTGATGTTTTTAACCTATCCATGTATTTGCGGCCATTAGTGAATGAATTTTCACAAATTATATTCGTAGTGAAGGTCGTTGCTTAATATTCCACATAACTACGCAGTTATTTTTTTTTTGTTGTACGGTTTTGTTACCTAAAAGTTTAATCGTCCCCAATAACTAAGGGTCTATTGTTCGTACGTCAGTCTATTCTTTATCTTTTTACTGTAATAAATAGTTCTGTTTAAAATTTAAAAGCTTTTTTTATAAAGGCAGATTTATCTTATCTAATATATTATAAACGAGCGATTCTTGTATATTTATTTATTTGTACCGACGATCTGGAAACGGCTCTAACCATTTCGCAGAATATTTTACGATAGCGACAAATCGATGTAGATTAGTCATATGTTTGGGAAAACGCGTGTTTTTGAGTTTTCATGCGGTTTTCTTTCGCATTATTCCACGCAAAATGTGGTCGCTAATTTCGCACGCTCGGGCATAAGCATCGTGGTCAAGTGGCCAAGGCGCAAGATAATCATAGGTGTCCGGGTTCGAATCCTGGTCGGAAACAAAGTTTTTACTTTTGTTTTTTTTTGTATTTATTCAAGTTTTTTTATCTGAAAAATACGATATAACAAAAAAGAACTCCGAGAAAAGCTCGGTCGCCCAGACCTACTGTATTCGTAAATAAACAACACCAAAAGAAAAAATTTAAACGACTTGAAGGTTCTAAACTAGAATCGTATGTTCTAAGTTTTAAAATAAAACTATATTTGTGGATTTTATCGCGGTTTCGTACAGATTTGTTAATGTCCCAACATATTTATTTGTTTATTCATATTCACATATTATGTGATAGTACCCGACTCACACTTGGCAGATTTTTTTATACTAAACATTTACAGATAGTATATGCCTGGGCCCGTGACGCTCCCAGTCTTCAGCTTCCCGAAGACGTAGGCTTCCTCATCGGCCGCGACTCACCCATCAAGTATCTTGTACTGCAAGTGCACTATATGATGAAATTTCCTGGTAAATGTCAAGATTATTCAAGTAAAGAAAAGGGAGTTGTCAGAGAGTAATAGCACATTATAAAAATTAGGGATAAAATGAATATCCGGTTTCCTATCGGGCCTTATTTTGCTATTTAATTTATTTTTTCTTTAATAAACTGCAACTCGGGGTACGAATTAACCTAACATGAGAGTTAAAATACTTAAGTTTCTTTTTTTAAACTACTTAATTAAATTGAAATTGCTTATTATAAAATATTTTTTCAGAGGGAACGACAGACAACTCCGGTGTTTTCTTACAATATACAACTTCGAGGTAAGTACAAACTAATATAGATTACATTTCTCGTTTTTAGAATTACCTAGCATTTAATATAATATGATAGATATTTTATTTCTTTTCCAATATATGGGTCATCTCAGTGCTTATATAGGGGGTTATAGGGAGTAATCTCTGGATCTACTGAACCAATTTAGATGACATTTGGTAAGAAGATAGTTTCAGACCCTATGAAGGACATAGCATAATTTTTATCCCGGAAAACATCCCTTAGGGAGGTGAAAATGGGCTTGATGGTTTGTACAGAGAAACAAGCTAGGGACCAACCCGAGCGAAGCGAAGGTGAGTTGCTAGTAGTTAATATGTAATATATTATGTATATATTAATTTCCTAGGATGCCACGTCAAGCGGGTGTAATTCTATTAGGCACGAGTGGCATGATCGGAGCCAATACAGTGGAGCATATGGAGACGGCGTGCACCATCCGAGAGGACAAGGTCATACATCCCTTCGCCTTCAGACCCCATACTCATGGGCTTGGTGAGTTACTTTCATATATATGAATATCATATAAAAACCAATGGCAGGAATTAAAAAATGGTAAACTAGCCTAATTATAACGTTTAGCATATATATTATTTTCCCGCGGTAATAAGTATCCAATATGTTGACCCAGATGACCAGCTATAATTATACCAAATTTCATCGAAATCCTTCAAGTGTTTTTTCCGTGATGTGGTCTCAGTCAGACAGGCAAAGATTCTAAAAACTATAGATTCGGCCTCTGTATCGATAATAATGTCTATTTCAGTAAGATTTTCCAAAAAATATTTAATGTACAGATTCAGCTTAGTTACAATTTTATTATGTGTATAGATAATTATCATAATCATTTCATGTTAAGGAGTTAATACGTAACATTGCAACCTTCTCGCTCTAGTGGACGACTTAGCTACTGTCATAATTAAAAACTTATGAAACTCGTTAATTTTTATACCACGGAATATCCCAAATAAATACACATACATACAGTCAAAAACACATTTTCCTTATAATAATTATTGAAATTAAGAAATAATTATTATCTTCAAAAAACAACAAGTTTCTATGAAAACGAAAAGTGAAACTTCATTGGCTTTTTATATTTCAAATCAGTAAAAAAACTAACTATGATAAAAACTTTTAATATTACGTTCAGACAAAAATATGATGCAAACGAATATCACAAAGAGATTCTTATATCTATCGCATATACTAGAGGAGATGAAGCCAAGCGAATCGAGGGCGAGCCGCTAGTTATAAATATTTTGCATATTTGAAACATACAACAAAATAGCAATCTTTGAAAGTAGCAACGGAAAATATATATATATATATATATATATATATATATATATATATATATATATATATATTTTTAGGAAAATGGCTTATCTGATTTTCTTGTTTTTTTTTTGTTTGAAAGCCTAATCTTTTCTCCTAATAAATGCCATCCTAATGAGAAAAATCGTTTGAGTATTTATTGATAAAATTTAATTTGACAGAAATGCATAAAAAATGAAGAAAAATGAAAACAACAACATAATGAATAAAAAAAATATTTTTATTAAAAGTAAAGAAAATAAAATTTTCAATACTCTGTTAATATTTTCAAATAATCTGATATATATTTAATATATTTAAACGAGCAATCCTTGTATGTATGTATATATATATCTGAATCTCGGAAACGGCTCCAACGATTTTCATGAAATTTAGTATGCAGTGGGGTCTCGGGGGCGATAAATCGATCTAGATTAGTCTTATGTCTGATAAAACGCGTGTTTTCGAGTTTTCATGAAGTTTTCTTTTGCATTATTCCACGCAAAATATGGTCCGTAATTTGCACATTTACAAGTTTTTACTTTTGTTTTTTTTTTTAATATTTATTCAATTTTTAGTTTACAAAAAGAGAAAATTGTACTTTAGGCCAAAAACTTCGAGGGAAGCTCGGTAGCCCAGGTACTATATATATATATATATATATATATATATATATATATATATATATATATATATAGTTATTATGGCAACCATGACGGTTTTTCGTGACGATTTCTAGTGGTGCGACCTTGAAATTTTACTTTCATGCGCGCAAAGAAGTTTCACTTCAATAATATTATTACAGGCACTCAAGTAACAGGCTACGTAGTCCGTCGTTCAGATAAAGGCGACAGCTGGCAACTTCTAGGCACAAAGAATCCTCAACTACCGCAAATGTTCTATCCAGTGGAGAACACCGAGCCTATTGAGAGAGGCGACGTGTTAGCAGCGAGATGTGTTATGAATAACACTAGAAATCACATTGTGCAAATCGGGTGAGTTTATAGAAAATGGTATTTATTGTTCAATTCTTAGTCCAATGATCATCGATCAAAAAAATACTACACAATCAGCGACAAAAAATTTCCTCACCGAATGAGCGCTCACTTGAACATTTGAGCGCACACACAAGGTTCAATTTGCATTGTTGTATATTTAATTCAATTACAATAATTACCTAAACACAATTGGTGACAGTTTTAAGAGAACTTTTGCATGGGATTGTGTATCTAGTACTATTTTGATCGATGCTAATTATTTATTGGTAATGAATGATTTATGATAAAGTGAGTTTCGGGACTAGAAATTACACATGTGCAAATAGAGTGAGTTTGTGGAAAGTCGTAGGGGACACTTGTAGTTCAATTCTTGATCCAATGATATACTGGCATGAAATGAGTTTCGTGAATAGAAATCAAATTGTCCAAATCGTGTGAGTTTGTGGAAAATGATAGGGGACATTTGTAATTCTTGGTAGATCATATGAAGTGAGTTTCTTGTTTTGAATCGAGATTAAAATGAATAAAAAATATGTTGTAATGTAAATTGTACCGTATAGCCATATCAATAAGGTACAGTTTACGTTGTTCACCGCATTTATACTCTTTCAACCAACTTTTTATATTATTTTGATTAACCCATCATAGTATAAGCTAGTTTTTATTGTTACCTAAGTTTCCTTGATTACGTATCTCTTATTGTAATACGTTAGAATACTAAAATACAGCATAATTTACTGAGAGCATGATGCAGCTTATATTAATCACATCGTCCTCGAATTCCAATTATTTTATCTCTTATCTATCTTTGTATATATAAAAATCCATTTGCTTGTAATTCTTTAAATCAACGGATTGACCGATTTTGATTGTTTTTTGGTACTCATGAGGTTATCTTGATGGCTCTTACCTATGGTTTAACCCGGTAGATGGCGCTGTTGTCGATATTCAGAACTTTTTTTATTATTATTCCAAACGACGTCTTTGGCAAGACGGTGTCTGTCTATCTAGTCCGCTCAAAAGCAAATTGGCCTTTATAAAATCTTATACATGCTTAAAAGAAAAATCGTGTTGTGTACTTATGTACGCACATAAATTCGTACTTCTTTGGCGTAACAGAACAAAAATAGCTGAAGATTTCATCCCTTATGTCACAACTCTCTGCTTGTAAAAGTAATGCAACTAACTTCATCATGTCGCTTTTTGGTTACCAAAAGAAGTATAACTTCAAAAACATATTGAAAATTAATATTATTTTCCTTACAGACCAACCAATAACGATGAAATGTGCAACTTTTATCTCATGTACTGGGTAGAGAACGATACGCCCTTGAAACAAAAGTATTGTTTCACCGATGGACCCCCCTATTATTATTGGAGTAGAGCTCGCGAACATTTCGACCGCATCCCTGAAATGGACGTCAACATCATCTAAATGGTACGTTCTTATAGAAGCTAAGTTTAGACTACGACACAAATTACAATATAAATGACAGGCATTAACTTCTGTACTACTTTTACTATATTTTAGAATCTGCGTAGTGTCTGTATATAAATGTAAGGAAGTTATGTCCGTGCTGTTCACACTCCTTGCTCCATGTGAAACTCATTTTTAAGTATTATCCTCTATATGGTGCGGTGTATTGAAAATGTCGAAACGTTCGAAAACCACACAAAGCAGTTGGACCGAACATGTCCACACAGTAAATTTCGCAATAGGAAATATGCGTGTGATTTAAATAAAGATGAAATATTTTTTTTTATAATCTATTGCTTTTGAATTAAACCCATATTATTACTTTTTTTAATAAAGTTGGTAATTAGTAAAAATTGTAAGTATAGGTGGAAAATCCAAAGTAGTTAAAACGCAACGTCATTAGTCAGACCGAATATAACGTCAAAGTCCATAAAAACAGCCAGTGTTGCCAATTTAGCGATTTTGTCGCTAAAAATTGCTTAAGCAAAACTAGTAATAAAATTAGGAGAAAATCGTTAAATTGGCACTGGTTCTGTTATTATAAACTATAACGTCACGCCAAGCACGCGAGATGGCGGGCAAAGTATCTATCAGCAAAAAAGTATCTGTAACGGTAAAAAAAGTATATGATATATACAAAAAAATATATATTATACTCAATTTTATTGTATTGTATAAAAATTTAAAAAAAACACGTATATTTCCTATTTACAAATCTCGTTTATACAGAGACACTCGGTGTATACCGTGTATAGTGTCTTAGTCTAAACTAGGCTAAAAGACGGCGGTAAAAACTGCAATCAATTGTGCGTAGAAAATTATATGCCAAATTTAATTTCTCTAAGATCTCTATGTATGTTACTTGTACAAATTTTAGGTATCAAAATTTTGTTATATAAGAAATTAATGATCCTGGTATTCGAAGTATTGTATAAGAGTATATTTTTACGGGCTCTTAGCCTATAATTATAGTTTATTAATTATAGCTTGAAGATCTTTTAGTAATTGACATAGACGAGGTAATTTTTTTGGTCTTTAAAATATTTTCTTTTTAATTTTAGGTATATATGTAGTTTGGCTATTAAGTGTATATAATTTTAGGTTTTTTTTAAGTTTCTTTAATAATTGTTATATTACGTATATTCATATATATTATCATAATGAACTAACTGCCATTTAATTAATCAATTACCTGTCAATGTTTTGAATGATGCCATCTTTACTTGAATATACTTTATTCAGGTCACAGTCAATTCAAAAACCTAATTATATAAAAAAAGGGTACATAATAAATATTACATATAGAATAATGTTATTTTTAATCATTAATATCTATAAAACAATCGAGTTCGAATTAAATTATAAAAAAAAACAACAATACTTTTTTAACAACATTAATTATTACTTTTATTAGATATGTAAAAAGTTTCATATATATTATTTTAATCTATTATTTTTTTGCTTTAACCACACTAGCATTCCATTTTTAAATATGAATAATAACGGTACTTTTATCGGTACTTATTACAATAATTTAGGAGATTATAGCGCTACAAACTTTTTTAATTTATATATTAACTTTAATTCAATTTTACCACACTTTCAATTTTTTACATATGACGTGTCATTGTGGTTTCGAATATAATAAGTTAAACATATGTAATATGAGAAATTACTATAGAGGTTTTATTCTCAATCTAAAAGAATTAGGCTGACAGAATGGAAGTATTTTTTTTTTAAATATTATTTACTATACAATTTTAGGTTTACCAATAGAATACCACTTAAAACGTCAACCGCTACCAACCTTTTCTTCACGTTCTGTGTGTGTTATTTTTTTAAGCCTGTATAATTCTGTAAAATTTTATTATAGGCACAAAATAGTAACATTCTAGATCTGATATATCTTTAGTAGATATAAGCTTTTTTTTATTAATTTTACACTATATATTTATTTATTAAATGTGTAGAAATGTTTGTATATTTTTTTTTGATAACACTGACATTCCTTTTTTAAGTATTAATAGTTTAACGTTAACAGTTTTTATCTGTACTTAGTGCAATAATTTAAGAATAAATAGCGCTGCAAACTCTTCTTAATTTATATAATAACTTTTTTAGATTTAAATAATGAAATTGGCGTTTTTTTTATCTATCTCTCACAGACAGCATAAGCGAATTAAAAATTGAGGTAAATCATCTCAATATTATGTATAATATGATGTTTTTTTTAACTTTAATTTTAAATAAGTTTATCATTAATAGTTTTTCTATAATAAAAGATAAAAAATACAATATGATTAATGAAGCTTCTGATAATGTATGTGAATATTATAATCAATATTGCTATAATATTTTTTTTTAAATGATAATATATTTTTTTATCTTTTTTAAAGGATTCGTTCTCTGTTTTACATGAAATATTGGTTTTATATGGTTCTTCATAGATTTTATTTGAGAGTAGCACGTATTTTTATTATATATTCTATAAATATCTAGTCATAAATACAAGACTAGAAGTATGGTGAATATAGCATATTCTAATAAATTTTACAAGTAAATATTTCTACCCATTTATTACTTATACCATTTATTACTAATAAGCTTTACGATATCTTCGAAAGTCTGCGCAATTAGATCTGATCTAATAGTCTTAGAATGAATTTTTAGCTTTTTTTATTAGTTTTCTATAAAAAAAAATGATTAATAGTTTTTTTTATTTATATACAAAATGCTCAATCCAATACTGTTTATTAATTGCAATATAACGAATTCAATTCGCTATTTCATAACTTTATAAGACCAAATTGAAACAAAAAACAAATGAAGTTTATTGATTTATTAACTTTATCTTTTCAATATCTAGTAGCATAACAGTTAAGTCAAAAATTATATAACGTAGTTGCATATCACAAAGTTTTGTTTTAGTAGAGAAATTATATTTTTAATATACTTAATATGTATTATCATAGAAAATATATTGTTATAGTGCATATATTTTTATTATAATTATATATTCTATACTAGCGACTTACCCTCGCTTCGCTCGGGGCGTCCCTTGCGTCTTAGAGATGTAAATTCGAATTTACCGAAAATTTTTAAGTGTTTTCAATTTTCGCGCTGGAACCTTAAATATATCCAGAATAAAACACACCTATATGTAGCCCTACAACCTCTTCTATCTCAGTGAACGTGCTTCGGCTCAATGCAATCGGCTTACCCGTTCCAAAGATTTTTCCAACCAAACAGAAAGACAGACTGACTGACAGACTTTTAATAAGGTTGTTTAGATACCGGTTATATATAAAAAAACTCTATATACATGAGAAAACATAGTTATTTTGGAATCACAGACTAACACTTCAGTTTTATTTATATGTATAGATTAAATAAATGACTATGGCTCGTTCTATGGACTCCGATTGCTAATTAGCTTTAAGGATCACACAAGTATTGTAATTTATGTATTGTATTTACACAAATATTATTTTAATCGTTCAAATGTCTACGTCAGATATTGGGTATTTAAAAGTAACTTAATATTTATATAGTTTTTCCCAAAACATTTTTTTTTCATCAATATATTATAATACATGATTCCCTTGTCGTAAAAGAAATACAAACCATACATACTTCATATTTATTTATTATAATATTACTTATCGATACTGATTAATCGATTACTAATATTGAACTCTAAAATCGATTATTTAGTCGTTTAGCGCAAATTCAGTACAAGTAGATTATAACAATTTTCAATATTTTCGACATACAATTTAATCACTAGTTTTTAACCTGATACATATCGATGGGTCATTATTATCTGTCATTCAACCATTTTTGGGAAACAAAAATTAAAAAAAAAACAAAACAAAAAATAGTTTTATTTAAAATGCAATCAAGCTTTATCGATGTAGATACATACAAAAATATACTCCACTCATATTTATTTAGAACAGATATCATATTATAGCTGAGTATAATGTTGCCATGTGAGCATAAAAAACTTCTTTGAATGAGATTAGTAATTTGATAGATCTACTCTATTTATAGTGTAGATTTTTTTTACTATTCACATTAATCATATAATAATAAGTTACTTTTAAATACCTAATTTATATTTTTTAAATGTCTGCCTATAAATATTTTCTAATATTTTTTGTAATTATTTTCTATCAGTTTTGTTTTGCTGTATAAATCTGAGGGGTACAGACAAAGGGCAGGGAATGTCACAATTTTCCTTTTTTTTTCTTTTGTATTGATAACGAATCTATGTCTATGTTACTTGCATCCCCAACCACTGGTTTTTACACATACTTAACGAATGTCGCTAAAAAACGTTTTTATCTATGACCAAAGTAAAAGAACTGGCAATGTCCATGACATACCGGTAAAGAAGAAAGATTGTCCAAAAATGTATATAGTAAGAAGTTTCTGCACATTTTGATCACAATAAAAATATTATACTATATATTAAAAATATAATACTATATTCTAAAATTTAAATAGTTTTTATTTTCATAATGTATACATTAGGTCATTCCCTATTTTTTGCCAGTACCCATTATACAGCCTTTGCCATGGTTTTTGTATCAATGTTTGTGTACCATATATCAATGTGTACTTATACTACGTCTAGTTTATTTTTTCCGATTCTTGTTAGAAAAAAAAAAGTTATTATAATAGATCTATTTATATATGTAAGATCATTGGTGTTATGTAAAATTAGTATAAGGTGAAGTGAGAATGAATAAAATATCTCGATGTCTCCGGCAGCTATTTTATGTACATACTATATAATTATAAAAAAATACAAAAAAAATTGGTGTAACCATAACAAATATAGATGTATTTTATTATGAAATTAATGTCAAAAATTAAATGTAACGCAAATTACATATATAAATAAATAAAATGTATACTATTTGGTTTCCCGTAGTCTTAATATGGACTAA